TGGACTTCTGCAGCAGGCGACGTGGTGGCCTGGGGAGCTGCTGGGACAGGTGACGTGGTGGCCTGGGGAGCTGCTGGGGCAGGCGACGTGGAGGCCTGGGAAGCAGCTGGGGCAGGCGACGTGGAGGCCTGGGGAGCAGCTGGTCTGGGACTCTGTGGGACCACGGCAGCTGGTCTGTGACTCTGTGGGACCACGGCAGCTGGTCTGGGACTCTGTGGGACCACGGCAGCTGGTCTGGGACTCTGTGGGACCATGGCAGCTGGTCTGGGACTCTGTGGGACAGCTGGAAACGTTTGGGGCAAGGGCTCTGAGGGCGGAGGGGCGGGACATTGGGAGGACCAGCGCATTGTGTGCCTACGGCTCTTCTGTGGGCGAGGGACCTGGCAGGGAGGAAACCACAAATCCTCGTCTTTGTCCGACTCGTCCTCCTGATCACAAAAGACGAACGGGAACTTGGGCCTGTTCATGAGGCGGAGAGCCCAACGCTGGGCTTCTCTCTTCTCCACCTCACCCAAGAGGACAGGCTGAGCCTGAGGAAAACTGCCCGGATTTATTGCCAGACGGGTGCCTGTGAAGTGGTTCTCCAACTTACCAGAACACCACCTCCGAGTCTGTGCTGGATCCATATTTTGGCCAGATAATTCTGTCACGAATTGGGGTGGATCGGACAAGCACAGACTCAGAAAAAGGTTTAAAAAGTTTATTTTTTTTAAACGGCGGCGTCTGGCAGGAGGTTCTGGTTCTGGTACTGGTACCGGACCGCTCTGGGGGAGACAGACAGATTAGTGGCTGTAAGCAGAACAGAGAAAACAAGAATAAAGCCACTAACCTTCTGTCTCTGGAACCAGTCTGAGATGTAGGCCAGGTGGGTCCCGGTACTGGTCCGAATCTCAGGAGCCGGTAGCATGCGCAAGGGCGTACAGAGCAGCAGCGCGCAGCGTGAGCACGAACAAGTAGTGAGGCTGGATGGGCGAGCTGTGAAGCTGAGGAGTTTAGGCAGCAGAACTTTACCCAGGGGCAGGCAAGGGTCAAAACCAGAGAGGAATGCAGCCAGGCAGAAGAACCAAAAGGAGAATCCAAAAATCGTGGTCAAGGAGCAAAAACAGTCGTCAATATGGTCAGATATAGGCGAGGAATCCAATACGGGGGCAAAGGCGAGAACGAGAGGTCGTGGGCAAAGCTATGGTCGAATACTGTGACATGAAGAGGGAACGCTGGATATCTATGGGAAGAACCTATAATTACCTGGCACCAACTGAGGAGAAACAGGGAGCTTAAATAGTGAACTGAAACAGGTGTTGCTCATGAATGTAGATTGCGGTTAGATGGTGGAGGGGGCGTGGCACAGGGTGACAGGAGCTGAATGAATGAGAGGGGAACTCAAAAACTAAAGCAGGAAAATAAACGTGAATGATCTAAAAACAGGGGCTGTGGTATGAGGAGCAGAGGCTTAAACAGATGGGGTGGCAGCGGGGGCCACTGAGCGTGACAGTTCAACAGTTATTGTTTAGTGTACCCGCTGATCATTTGAGCTGCCAGTCCTATGTCAGCAGACTCCTCCTTCGCACTTCCTCTGTAAACAACACGGAAAGCGGAAATGGCTAGCAGTAAGCCTTGGTTGTTGAAGCTGTACCCACGCAGGACATCTGGACTGCTCCCTGGTTCTGGCCTGTAGTTCATGTGACACTTGCAGAGACTGAAGATGCATAAGTGGATCGAGTGTGGGCACAAAACACATGTTGGGAAGACTATGCAGCATCGAAGTAAGAGCAGGGAGGTCTGGAGCCATGTGGTGCAGAATGATGCTACGCAGGACTTCTCAGGTGGGCACTGGTGAGACCTCAATGAGCCCTGTGGCACAGGCCCAAGTCTGGATGGTACCAGCTCCAATGCTGAGAGACCATCTCTAGGATAAGTGTGATAAGTGGTTGGGACTCCAGCTGGTGTAGTTTTTCTCCCGATGCCAGGATGTCAGGATCTGGAAGTGGTCCTACAAACACACGAGTGACAGAATCACAATAAGTTTTGACAAAGGAAACATGGACATAAAAACATTAACCCAAAGGTTATACCTGTGAAAGCTCTGTAAAGCGTGAAGTGCAAACATCTTTTCCCCACAGTTTTGGGCTTTCACACCACCACCTTGCTGGCAGGTTCAGGATGGATTCCCTTACAAGAAATAAACATAAAAATATGTCAAACTAAAAAATAAATAAATGTAAAGAGACAAGTGAGCAATTTGGTAGGATACAGCGGGACAGATATGAGAGTAAAGATTTTTACTTAACTTGCAAATATTACTAATTCATAGAGGTTGAACCTGCATTTATTCATTACCTACAAAAACAAACAATTCTAAACAAGTTAGGAGAGAAAAATATATTTGACACAAGTAATATTGAGACTATGACAAATTTCACATGGCACTAATAATATACAGGTGGGAAAGTTGTTAAAATTATTGTTATGAGAATCATAACCATCATAGACTAAATAATATAACAGAAAAGAATGTGTTCCACTCTTATTTTATTTTTTTTACCTGTGTTCTTTGTCTGTGCCTTCTTTGTAAATCTCTTGTGCAGGCCAGTACAGGAGGACCAGTTGGCAGCTGGAGTTGGAAGTAGTGTGCAGTCTGGTAAAAAAAAAAAAAGTGCAACTACATGGTTACAAAAACCTTTATCAGCTGCACTTCTACAGAAATAAGCCAACATTTCTTTTTTCAACACCCAGTGAGATCTAAATTATATCTGTTTTTAGCACATATATATATATATATATATATATATATAAATTAATACTTGTTATAACATATTTAGCTTGAAACATGTAATAGATTGTATAATAGATTGATTCACTTAACACATCACCTTACATATACACAGCACGCTACATACACACATAAACATATGTTTGGCACTAATGGAACCTCATAAAAATATAATACAAAATTTTATATCATGCCTGTCTCAAATACTCCAAATAATTTAGCACACTAAATTAGGCTTCTTTATTACGATGTTTATGCACTTTATATGTTGTAGCTAACAGTTAGCTTGCTAAGCTACGTCTTTTCTTACCTTGACAGCTGTGGATATTTTCTTCATGGAAGAACTTTTATCCTTTCAAGTTTATTAGTTCGAGAATTCGCCGCTGCGATTTCCTCCTCAGCAGTGAAAGAAAAGATTGGCAAATTAAGCAAAGATGTTGAAAAGAGAGACATTTCTCCTTAGTGCAAAGACTCGCAAAGCAGGAAGTGTTGGTTTCCGGTTGTCGTGAAAAAGACGTCGCAAAAAAGTCTTCTTGTTGCAGATACAATAAATAATCTGAGCTGCCGCACTAAAAATCATGTCAAAAATACGAGCGTTGTGTTGGACTGACCTGACTTTGCAGATTATAAGATAAAAAGGCTACAATGCCTTATGATTTTTCCGCCAAAATGCTACGTAAATCTGTGACGTTTTGACTAGTCAGAATAACAATTCAAGATATCTTAAATAGCTAATATGTCTAGTCAAAACTCAGTTTCAGATATCTGGAATGTAAGCATGGTGAATCTGATTTTATGTTAAAAGGGCTTGCCACAGTCACACAGCCTAACAACCTAACCCCCCACCCTGTCAACAACCCCCAGCACTAACGTGGCACTAAGCTAGCAAGCAAATCAGAGGTGTCTCCCCCTCCTCCTCCCGTGAGTGCCCTACCAAAGCAGTTGACCGATGAGAAACACTGTTTGCGGTGTGGTGAGTTGTTGTAGGCGACCAGCAACACCCAGAGTGGATTTTTAGTGGTTTGAATATTCTCCTATTAATCAAATGGAATGGATTAATTCACAAAGAAATAGAAACAGCACTGGGTGAACAAATATTTCATGATAAATTTGGGGGAGGGGGTCTGAATGAATATTTTTAAAATGTGGGAAAACATGTCCCCTTCACATATAATTGTTGCAATGCCTATGTTTTTGAAGTTATTTTACATGTACTTAGAAATTTTTGTACATGCCTATTTGTTTGACACCTTACATTTGCTTTTAGATTATCATTTTTCTCCTTTATTTCGACTGCTCCCTGCTTCAGGTGTCCCCACAGTGAGCTAACTTGCATCTTGCTTGGCGATTGTTTTTACGTCAGTAGTTTTTACATCCTGACGCAACTACTGATCACCGAGCTAGAACAGCCACCACCTACCACTGTCCTTTCTGTGAAGCAAGAGCTGCCATCTAGAGCCCCTGGGGAGCAGCTAGGGCTTAAGGGCCTTGCTCAAGGGCCCAGCGTGGGGCAAATGAGGGTAGAGGCAGGTGTGGGTGCATCACCTTTCCCACCCACATTTGGTGCTGTATTCTCTAATCTCTGTACCACCATCCCCCCAGATGATGGTTAATAAGCTTAAAGCTATAATAGATGTCAAAATATTAATTTTTTTCAATGTTCTTGATAAGATTGTTTTATATGTACAATCAATTATAAGAATATGTACTAATTACACTCTTTTTAGAAAGTCTACTCTAAATTGTTTAATAAATGAGAAAAATCTGCAGTCATGTTTTATTGCTAACAGCTGTGTTGTGAACCGATAGTGAAAAATACTTGCTGGTTTTTAATGGGATTGGATTTAAAAAACCTTGAAGAGTTTGAGGTACATTAACCCCAAACAATGTTTTAATAATGTAGAAGATCATTCAAATCAACATTGAAAAAAATTAAACTTTTGACAGCTATTATGGCTTTGTGTTGAAACTCACATGGCATCCAAATAATAAAAAAAAGTGTCACATTTTATAGCACCATAATTTACAGAACACCTTCATTTATTTTCACTCTTTGTTCAAAGTTAGAACAATATTCATAATAAAACCCTTCACTTTGGTAACTACTTTTACAAATAAAAAAAACACAAGTGGAACACAACAGCAATGGAAGCATTGTAACTAAAAGTATTATTAATGTTTCTGCTACATTAAAAACAGAACATTCTCTGCACATCAAATGCTGAGGTATTCAAGCAGTGAGTCCATGCAATTTAAAGTTAGCAAAATCATTTTGAAACATTTTTCCAAAAATAATGAGTTTAAAGGCTGACCTGAACCAGCTGTAAAAGAAAGCGTAAATGAAAGGATTCAACATTGAATTAGACAACGTGAGCCAATTAAGTGTTTCAATTACAGCAATTGGTACTAAATTGTTGGTAAAGGGCAGAAAAGTAATGCAAAGGAAAAAAGGAGTCCAACAAAAAAGAAACACTCCCAGAACAGTTGCCAATGTTTTGGTGGCTTTTTTCTCTGTTTTACTGACATATACTCCACATTTCATCCTATTTTGGATGCTTCGTGCCTGTCTTTGTGCAACAAGAAAAATCTTCAGGTAGATGCACAACATTAGGATAACTGGAAGGTAAAACGATAAAATAGGTCCAACTGTGTTTGCCATGAGAATGTCAATAAATGATGTTTCCTCACCCTGTTCATTGTTTAATCCAGAAATGGTCACTCCAATTCCAATTAAAGCAGAAACACTCCAGCTTACAGCAATCATAATGACAACAACACGATGACTAATTTTAGATTTATATGTTAATGGATGACAAATTGCATAATATCTGTCAACAGAAATGCAACTTAGGTGCATAATAGAGCACGTGCTGAGCAATACATCAAAGCTGCCCCGTACTTTACAGAATAAACCTTCATGATACATACATGAGCTGAGAGAGAATGCCATGCTGAAAGGAAACACTATTATCCCCACAAGCAGGTCAGCCACAGCCAGAGACAGAATAAGAGAATTAGTAGGAGTTTGAAGCTGTTTGAAGTAAATGATGGAGATTATTACAAGAAGGTTTCCACATACTGCACCAAAACACAGAAGTGAAAGGAAAGCATACAGCAATACACAGATTGCAGAAGGAGTTGTGGTGAAATTGTAACTGAAATTATCAATCTCGTAGCAGGGATGTATATAAGTGACACCCTTTGTTCTGTTGACACCACCGTCTGTTTCCATGATGACCTGTATTTTATATGAGAATTAGAGATAATAGAAAAAGTAAACTGAACCAAAAACTTCAGAAAAACAATTTATCGTTTGTTGCAGTTGTGAAGTTATTGATTACTACTTACAGCAGGTACAGTAAGCGCATCAGTGCTGGTGATAGCTCTGGCCTGCATCAGTCTATGCCCATGAGCCATTATGATGTAGTCACCACCCATATTTGCAACACTATGATTGTTGTCCAATAAGAATTGAAATGGGAACTCAGAACCATCTCAAAGCAATCTTGACAAGTAGGGCGTTATGTTTCTGTGTGTGATCATCTTAATCCATCCATTTTCTTTACCTGCTTCTTCCTTTCATGGATGCAGGGGTTGCTGGTGCCCATATCCAGCATAAACTGTGCGAGAGGTGAGGTACACCCTGGACAGGTCTCCAGTCCATCACATGGACACAGAGACAAACAAGACAAACAACCATTCACTCTTTCACGCTCACCTAGGGACAATTTAGAGTTACCAATCAGCCTAACATAAAGGAAATTGTGTTACTGTTAGTCAAAGACCACAAGGAGGGAAGCGTGTCAGAAGACAGAGGGAGACAAGGAAAGTCAAGAATGTAGGACTGAGGGTTGCAACTCTAAATTTGGGGACAATGACAGGCAAAGGCAGAGAGCTGGCTGACATGATGAAGGTAGATGTTTTATGTGTCCAAGAGACCAAGTCGAAAGGCAGCAAGGCTTACAGCATTGGAGCAGGGTTCAAAATGTTTTACCATGGTGTGGATAGAAAGAAAAATGGAGTAGGGGTGGTCCTGAAGGAGGAGTTGTCAAAGAATGTATTAGAGGTGAAGAGAGTGTCAGATAGGTGACAGTACGATCTGTAATATAAAGTGGAGCTAGATTGTTGCGGGCTTTGTATGTTAGAAGTAAGAGTTTCAATTGTATTCTGAATTTGACAGGGTGCCAATGGAGAGAAGCTAAAACTGGAGTAAAAATAAAACTCCTATCAACTCGTTAAAACTCTGACAGCAGCATTTTGGATCAGCTGAAAACTTGTAAAAGAAGTTTGTGGACACCCAGATAGTAAACAACTGTGATAGTCCAACTGTAGTGAACTAAGCCTCCGGTCAAAACCTGACCCTGAAGACCTTCATGGGACAGGAACTGTTATTTCATTGATTTGAATCCAGAAATACAAATTAGCTCATCCAGAGACTTTCTAATTGTATCCTGAACTAATCAATTGAAAGAACACTCTCTTTTTATATTGTCATTACTATTTTTACAAATGTCTTGATAATCAAAAGTGTGTTTAGTTCAAACCATTTTAAATGTTGAAGTGAACTACTCATTTTAAATCAACTGTGAAACAGTATTAATGATTTTTTTTAATCCTCATTCAAAGTAGAAATCAAGTTAAAATGTCTGTTACAAAGTAATTATGCATTTTTTGATCTTCTGTCTGAAATGAGAAGGAGTGATGTCGGTCAAAAGTCGGAGACAGTCGCAAACAAGTTTATTGGAACGAACTGTCATGTTTTTAAACCTCTCAGACAGAAACAAGAAAAGCTGGCACCTGTGGGTCTGTCATTTCTCCAAAACATGTCTCTGTCTGTTCCTAAACATTTCTCTGTCTGTTCCTAAACATCTTCGCTGTTTTTCTGACTTGTAGTAACCTCTTACGTCACTAAAACCACACCCCTGTTGGTTCTTTCAACCAATCAGGACTTCCCAAAAGGGACAGGAAGCAGAACTCTTTAAAAGTCGACACTTCCTAGTTCCAGAGGTGATCTGAAGTTCTGGGGGAAGAACAGAAGTTCCGAAACAGAACAGAAGTTCTGAAGTGCTGGACTTAGTTGGGAGTTCTTCCGAGTCTAGTTGGGATTATGGAATCTTCCACATCTGAGTGGAACCTCTGACGGACTCACAGCTCATGTGAGTCTACCCGGGAGGTGAGCGTGTTGTTGAACGGAGTACCGTCACTACTTCGGACGATTCTCAGCCATCCTAAGGAGACGCTGAAAGGTAGCGTTGAAATGGAACTCCGTACCGGAGCTGACCTATCTTCTGCAAAGGTAACGAGTCGCTTCACTACCGAGTGTACCGAGGCTGAGCTGGGTTCGGATGGAGGGTGCTGTTCCTCGTCAACACACTTTCCCTCATCCATCTTTTCTTTATTATCTTAGTTAACCCTAAGTATCCACTTTCCCTTTGTAGTGAACCTGATCTGACCTCGAATCTTGATCAGATGAACAGTGACTGGTATTTCATTGATCTGCATCCAGAAGTACAGTTTGAGCCATCTGGTGACTTTCTTTCTTGAATTAATCAAGCAGAAAAGACAATTCTCTATGATCATTACTATTTTACAAATGTTTGATAATCAAATTGTGTTAGTTTACTCAATGTTTACAGGTTGAAGAAAACTACTCATTTTTATTTTACATAAACAGTAAGTAATGATTTTTATTCCTCATTCAAAGAAGAAATCAGGTTAATATGCATTTCTTGATTTTCTGTCTTCAATGAGCCAAGTTTTGTAAGTATGTTAAAGGTCGGTTCTCGGTCAACTAAAATGTTTACTGAGAAAAAATGTCATGTTTAACTATTTGAGAAGATACAGCAGAGTGAGACTCCACAAAGTCTGGTTTTCTGCAATAATCTTTCTGTCTGTTGTTGAACAATCTCATTCTCTGACCTCGAATTTGATAACATCTTACATCACAAACCACACCTCTATTTCTGGTCCATCGACCAATCAAAAAGCTCTCAAATGACCCGGAAGTCGACCCATTTAAAATGTGGCAACTTCCCAGTTCATGTGGGAGTTGCTGAGTTGCTCTAGTGGCTGCAGCTTGCTGCGCTCAGGAATGAGTTCAACGAGAGAGTGCACAGAGTCTGAAGTCTGAAGCCAGACGCTGAAGATTAATGGAGCTAAAAAGAGTCTGATGCTGCAGAGCTCTGAGAGTTCCACACAGAGTGCTGAAGAGTGATGGAGTTCTAACTCATGAAGAGAGTTCTTGGATGCAAACGCGTTCAGGATGATCCAGAGACGTTTTGGGATTATAACTTCTGTTTGAACAACCTCGTACGACTCTCGAAGGATTTCAGCTGCTCAACGGAGACGCTGAAAGAGTCTGAAGGATTCTATACCGAGCTGATTTATCATCAACCAGGTAACGATCTACTTCAACCGAGTGTACCGTCGCAAGCTGAGATCTGATGGAGCGTGCACGTTCTGGTCAAACAGATTAATTCCCTCACAAATCTCTCTGTAAGATAAATCTCCATTTCCATCTTAAACTCTCCTTTCTCCTAAAATCAGTACAGATATTTAGAAATATCTGAAGCTAAGTCCTCAATCACCGCCGTGTGATTGATGTCCATTATTTGTGAAATTTGTCTGTTATTATTTTCATATTTTGCCAAATTAATGTAAATGTTTGATGTTAAACTTTGATTCTGAAAATAAATGACCGCATTCATTTTGATGGGTCAAAGATAAATAACGTCTCTCGTTACATTTCTGTTAAAATTCAATGCACGACATTTACACAGTCAGAAAGATGAGGAACTCGTGAAAAGTATGAATATATATCCTATATGACATACTACTACACCTTCTTAAACTTTACTCCATCTCTATATTTCTCTGCCAGTAAAAAGATAAGCTAAAGTCTGCAGACATTAATTTAAGATCTAAGGAAATGTCTGTTGTTTTTATTAAGTAAAACGTGCCAAGTTTTATTAATCAGAGCCGATCGGAATAATCAAGTGTACAATGTTTTGATGTTAAATTTTGATTCTGTTAACACTAGAAGTCCCAGAGAAGGGTCATTTAACATTTCTACCTTTGGAACCCAGAGACGGGTCGAGTGACCTGAAGGATTTTAGCTAACATCCTATAATGAGCTGTTAACAGGCGCACCACAGGAGGGGGCACGCTTAACTCCCAACTAACTGTTTTCCATTGAGTTTAGCCATTTAGTTTCTAGTTAGTTATATTCAGTTTATTGTATTTTATAATATGAAGATTTTTTATATATATATTGGTGGCACGTTGTTGCACATTTTGAACAAATTGAAGTCGATTTACCGTTTATTTTTCAATTGGTTTGGCTCATTTCTTGAAACCGAGATGACATTCTCAAAACACCATGTGAAACACAACTCAAGAGACTTTCCATTTTGAGGTTACTGACAATTTGTATGAAACACATATTTTGTTTTGATATATATAGTATTTAGCTTAGTTTTGAGCAAAAAAGCACAGACCATAAGCAATTGTGTGTAAGTCAAGAGGACTAAAACTTCAGCATGAGAAATATAAAAAACAACAACCGTTATTTGTTTCCATGCTTTTTATTTTTGTCATAAAAATACAAGGGATAAAACAATTCTACACATATTTACACTATGCTCTAGTGGGGGGGCTGCGTGTGTGTGAGTGGCATGTCCTCCTTGTGTGACTGGCATTTCAGCACTCACTCAGCAGTCCATCTGCACTGTCGAAACATACCTGGCACTGCCAGGGTATGTCCCTGGTACATTTGCCACATGTGTATTTGTAGCAGTTGACGCATCTCACAGTTGCACAATTGTTCGTGCATCGATGTTTGATCTGACACTTTGCCCTTTTGCCAGGGCTGGGTGTGGAAGGTTGTTGCTGAAGCAGTTTCTCCTTGCGTGCCTTCTTCTCACAATTAATTTGGTTATTTTTTTCTAAACTGTCATTTTGAACCCACTTCTCTTTTTTCTGAAAGAAAAACATTACTAAAATCTTTTAGAAAAACTTTTGCATATATCTTGAAACAGATTGTATGTTTTGCAAACTTTTGTTTTGTTTTGTTCATTTGGCAAAATGACCTGGATAATGCATCTCTCCCAAAACACTTCATGTATGCTTCAAAACAAAATATGTGTTTCATACAAATTGTCAGTAACCTCAAAATGCAAAGTCTCTTGAGTTGTGTTTCACATGGTGTTTTGAGAATGTCATCTCGGTTTCAAGAAATGAGCCAAACCAATTGAAAAATAAACGGTAAATCGACTTCAATTTGTTCAAAATGTGCAACAACGTGCCACCAAGAGATATACGTTCAAAATATAACCAGTTGATTTTGCATCTGTTTGGAGTATTAGACGGACGTTTGTGTGAGTTCAGCTTATCTCTCCCCTGCTGATTCCTAAGGCAATGGCCACATTTACAAATGAAAGGATGCTAATTGGAGCCATCAGAGTTGTCCGGTTTGGAGCACTACTTTGACTAAGGCTGCGCTTTTTTGCGCAAGTGAACCTGGCTTCTAAATCCCCCGCTCCCTGGATTGGACATTGGAATGCAGTCTGGTGAGGTGGGTGTGTCTGAGTTACTTGTGTGCATATTTAAAACAAATGGCAGTTAATGGCCCGCAAATTGTTGAGGAGAAGGAGGGGGTTTGTTCTCAGGATCTTGAAAATCTAGTCACTCTAGTGCTAAGGGTCTTTTGACCCTTTTTCAGGACTTCTGTGGGGAGGTCGAAATTCCTGGGACTTCTAGTGTTAATAAATGACCACATTCATTTTGATAGGTCAAAGAAAATTAACGTCTCATGTCACTGATTAGACCATCTCCCACACAGTATCTCTGTCACATATCTGTCAAGTAGCTCGAAAAAGAGAGAACCCGTTATTAAATATTGATTGTAGTGGAGCTCCTAAGCTAACACTGAAGCTAACCTAACCCTATTTCACTACATTTCTGGTGGCCCAGTACAGGTCTCTAAAGAGCTTCTCGTGACCCGCTATTCTCCTCTTTAGACATTTTGTGGCTGTACAGATGTTTAAAGAGGTGAATTATATGTGACCGACTCTGTGTTATTGAGTGAACTGAATGTTGGCATGAAAAGTCCAAGTTTGGAGCTTGATACAGCATGATTCTTCTTGTGGTGTTTTTAGAGCTGAAAGTAATGTCAATGTGTTCATTTTAAAGCTGAAATTTGTACGTCTGTTGTGTAACTAAAGCTGGCATGCTGTGGTAAAACGCTTTATTCTATTTAAACTGTGGCACAGAGGGGGGTCCTGACCCGGTTCTGCTGTCGGACTCGGTTCAGATTCGTTGAACGAGTCGTGTTTTGAATGGATAAAACGCTGTTTTGAAGCTGAGCGCCGTCTCAGACCACTGTTGAAAGAGCTTCGTTACATTTGTAGCAGTGAAGGTGCATTTTGAAAGTTAATGGACGAAAGTTGACCGGACTTTTTCAGGCTAACAGCTAACATGATAGCTGGAATCACGAGCTGTGATTGGTTGAAAACCGCTGTTTGGGTCGGTCTGATTCGCTGCGTTCACTCCCTCTGATGTCAGATTGTAAAACCCACCCCGTTGCTCATTGGTTGATTCAATCACGTGACCCAGAAATGCAGCTCGTTTTCAAATAGAGCTTTCTCTGTTGTTTTAAAGTTGGATAACGCTTTAAAATTGGTTCTGACCTCATGATCCATCTCTTAAAAGTCTAATCGCTAAAGCGACCGCTGAATCGAGAGTAAATCCGCCTATGAAATGTTGATTTTGGACCGCTAATTCTAAGCTAACGGCTAAAGACCAGATGTCACCAAAGCCACAGGAAGTCATAACGACTCCTAGTGGACGTCGCTAACAGTGTCTGGGTTAAAATAAAATAAGGTTATACTGCCACCTTCTGCCAGAAACTCGATATGACAGTTTCATTTCGTTTTTAGGATTTTTAGTGGAATTGAACGTCTTTTTATTCTTTAAAAAGCATTTTTGAGTTAATAAAACGGTGCTCAAGCGTGGTTTATGCTGCTGTCTTACATATAAAAAGTGATTAAAGTACTTATGCCCAGAGAGGCGTTTACTAGAAAATTTTCATTTGATGATAAATCCTGTAAGGTGCTAAATGAATTTTTCACAACTTTTTAGAGATACAGTCACAGAATAATCACAGAGCTAATCAGTTTACTCATTTGCTGAAAAGAAAATACACGTTTAATTGCTAAAACACTAAATAAGAGTAAATATAACAGAAAAAGGAAACTTTTCTGATTTGTTTTACGACCTAAAACACGACATCTTCCTATTTATTTTTTTAAATAAAAGATGATGGCAGGGGCAGAGGTAAACGTTGACCCTTCAGACTCCCAGTCAGAAGATGACAGTCAACATGATGACATAATCCAGGGAGCTTTACATATTTTAACAGACCCGGTAATTGGTGCGACATTAGACAGGATGGATGAAACTCAAAGAGCTGAAGAGCTGAGAAGTTTAGCAAAAGGAGCCACGGTTAAAGAGAATAAAAAGCAGAACCTTGAACGGTTAGCAAAACTTTCTGTGCTGCTCAAAGACAGATTGGACCAAGAGGTTGAACGAAATGACGTGCTGACTAAACAATATGCAGAGAAAGTCGAGATGTTTCGGAACCTTGAAGGACGCTTCCTTCAGTTTCAAAATGAACACAACGAGCATACTAAAGAACAACTGGAACAGATGACTCGATTGAAGCAAGACGCACGTGCAGAAATTGATTCACTGAACGAGCAAGTACAGTCACTTTCAGCATCACTTACTGAAGCCAGGAAAGTCGAAGAACAGGTTTCCATGACATACTCTTCATTAAAAGAGGAGTACAAGGAAACGGTATCACGATTGTACCAGTGCAGAGCTGAGATAGACGTGCTTAAAACGCAACTTTGCCATGCAGAAAGGGAAAATAGTGTGAGGCGTGGACAGAATGTGGGGACACACTGGGTTCCAGACCCAAATCTCTCTCCATCACATGCACCTCCACCCTTACCTAAAGGAGCAGGGACAGACCTGTCCAGGTCTCCTCGACCAAGCCGGCAAGAGAGACTGTCGAGAGCTCCTCTTTCGATGGACGAACTTCAAAAAATCTCAAAATATGTTCAACGCTTTATTCCTGGGCCTATGGGTTCTACTGGTACGAAGGCGTATCTCAATGACCTAGATTTCAGACTGAGTGGTTATCCTAATGCTACGGTTGAGGATAAAATCAGTCTGATAAGGCTCACTTCGGACAGAGAGGTGTTCACCTTCATCGAGCGTCAACCTGATGCCACGAGAAGGGATTACAACCTTCTGTGTGAAGCTTTGATCAGAGAATACAACCCCTCACCGGACCAGGTGGCTTTCCAGCTGCAGACAAGGTCACGCAAGGGAAGCATGAACATCCAAAGGTTCATTACAAAAGAATCTTCCAAGCTTATTTTGGTTACAGGAATGAAACCGGCATGGAGGAGGAAGAAGGTTTTAAATTTGTTTTCAGCAAAAACCTCCACACTGACATTAAAACCTCAGTACGAATGATGGCTAATTTCAAAGAAAAATCCATCAATGAGATTAAACAGTGTGCTGTGAATGTGTTTGAGGCCTGTTCTCATGTTAAGACGCCCATAGAGGTGTTTCCTGGTGTAAAGGTTAAACCCCATTCGCTAGAACTGGAAGGACGGCGCATGTCTCCTCCCCCTCCTAAAAAAGGCGAGAAAAAGCAGTCTTTTCAAACTAACAAACCACGTCATGAAGGTGCACACTGGGACAAAAATGATCTAAAGGGATTGAATTTAATCCCAGAGGATGAACGTGATTATCGTAAGTGGGGTGTGCGTAGGACGAAAAGATATGGGAACCAAGGTGACCCATATTATCAGGGGAAGTCCGAAAAGGAACCCCCAAATGACGTACCTAACCCTCCTCCACCTCGGACAAAACGACCCGAGGCGAAAAAATCACAAAGGTTCCAGAAACAAGGCCCTACACCTCTGAGCTCGGAAGAAACAGAGAAACTACGCAGGTTGTTAGAAACTTTGAAACACACTGACACGGGAAACCAACCTGGAGCACAATGCAGTGATGTAATCACTATTACATCTGAGGGCGCGAATGACAACATCACAGATGTCGGTGGAACCCACCAAGACATTGTTGTTGTGGCCTCCAACAACCCCTCATCGGATGAAGGGGGGGTGAACTCACACACAAACGATGACGAGTCATCGCAAATTGAACACTCAGAAACAGCTACTGCTGTGCTGACGGTTCAGACAAACCAAGATTACACAGACAAGGCTGAGCGTGTGAAGAAACGTCAGAAAAAAACCAAGAGGTTTCTGTGTAACTTTATCAGAAGGGGGGTCGCCAAGAAGGCGTACCTGTCGGTGACACTCGAAGGGGTCCTCACACATGAAGCACTACTGGACGGTGGGGTGGACATAACAATTATGTCAGCTAAGCTGTTCGAGGAGCTGAGGACAGCCGCTAGCAGTGTTAACAGGGTAATACCTCTCACAGAATGTACTATAGAAATGCAGGGTCTCTCAGAGAAGAGGACAACCCTGACAGCTATAGCAATGGTTCACATGCAGATTGGCAGAATGACACTATACCACCCGGTACACGTGTCTAGTGTTGACTCATTCCCATTTCTGGTTGGCCAAGATTTTATAAATCGCTTCGACGCGATTATAGATTATGGTGATCAGACGATGTGGGCCAAGGTGAGCAAACCACTGCCAATAGAAATGCCTCCTGAGTGTAACACAGACTGCCTAACGGCAGGTACTGCGGAAGGCGCAAAGGACTCCTCAGCCGAGGACACGAGCCCGGTGAGTATTCCTCTGAAATCATGTGAAACCAAAGAGACCCACCCGGTGGTCCAAACTCTGACCCAACAAGACAGCCTCCTCTGTGAGCTGGAGCAGTCAGAGTCCACCAAACACTACCTACCACTGGTAGTTAAAGGTGTAGAGATCCAAGGATCCCACACCAACGATGCTGTTCTGTCTCTGTGGACAGATAAATCAGCAATTAACCGAGCTTTCTATGAAACCTTGGTTCACAAACACGTGGGTCTAGAACTAATTAAAAAAGCTTTCCGCTTTCCATTAGTTCCCAA